ATTATTTGAACATTAAGAAAAAATAAAGAAAGAAAAGGTCAACTTCTGCCCCACAATTTGGGAAATTATTCCACTCCTAAGGTAATCAGCCTGTCAGCCAAATAATTCCCTGCTCATTCATTACAGGAAACAATAATGAAAGCCAAGTTGTCTGTCTAAAGTGGCTATGGCATTCTTCTATACAATAATTTGACCTATGACCTTCAGTAGTTGAGTTTCCAAATGGACAAGAATATTTTTCCTGCCATGATGGCTCACATTAAGGAGTAAGTCACATGGAAACATATGCCAACAGTGTATTCGCTGCCCCCATTAAAGTTAAAAATATATATATTATAAAGAAACCAAAACGGTTATCACATAATTTTCACATTTCCCAAGGAAAAACATCTGGCACTAAGACGTAGCAAATCTCCATCTAGTCTCAAAGACACATAGAGATTGTACATATGGATGTGTCGTGAATCAGAGAGAAATTCATCAATCTTAGTTTTTAAAGATCTACTTTTCTGGTTTTTCTCTGTTGTCTACGTAAAATGCAGTCCTGCCTTCACTTCTGCTTCCTCCTGGATTGAGGTTTCTCAGTGCATGATTGTGCTCCCGTTGCTGTTTTGGTGTGCTCCTCTTCATACGAGATCCAGGGGAGCTAAATCGATAGAGGCCTTAACACATTTCTTAAGGCTACGGCAGGGAAGTTAGGGGGTGGGGCATGGAGAGCTAGTAATAATGGGTATAAGAATGAAGAAAATGATCTAACATTGACTGTGGTGATGATTGCACAATGCCTTGTCATCTGTTTAAACCACTGAATTGTATGACAGGTGAATTATGCCAATAAAACTCACAAACACATCTTCAGAGAGATGTTCTTTCAAGCTTCCTTAATCACCCTGCAACACCCTGGGTGTCACTTCTCTCTGTTTCTCATACTCCAGGCGTGTTGCTCTTAGGAGCCGTTGAGCCAATTCCTACCCACAGCGGCCCGGTGAGGCGCAGAATAGAAGGGCTCTTATTTGAAGGATTGACCTGCTCCTCGGGGTTTTCCAGGCTTCCACCTTTGAGAAGCAGAATTCCAGGCCTGTCTTCCAAGGTGCCTCTGGGTGTCTGAATCACTGAGCTTGAGATGAGAAATCCAATGCTGAACCATTTGAAACACTCAGGGACTGCTATCACACCACTTCTTAAACTGTAGTTTCCTTTTCTTGGGGCAATTGTACAGTTCTGAAAACATTCTTCTCTACCACCTCTTGCCCCCCATGTTTGCTTTCCAGCCTCAAGTAGGACGAGGTAATAGTAAACACTCAATAACTTTGATGGGATTTAATACGAATTTGGAGGATAACAGTGTTGGAAAGACAATGGTCTGAAATCCGGACAGCCCGAGGAAGTGAAACAGCACAGTGCTTCGATGTGGGGGACGGCAAGGAGGACCCACTGTGGGCTTGTGCCAGGTTGGAGGTGTGTGGAAACCACTTCCATATGCAGCTGCTGTTTCCTCCAGCAGTGTGACATTGTGCTCATTATTCCAGGCAGTCCCTTGTTCACATGTGAGTAGTTAAGAATATTTACCACACATTAACAAAGAACCCAGCTTTAAGAAATCTCTTCAGTATAGATGGTCAATTACACCCAACAGTATAATTAGATTAACATTAAGTCTGCCATGTTTGCCACCTAAGAATGGCTCTGCTTACTTGATCTTCTAAAGAAGGAAACCAAATCTTGATTGGGGGACATAAATAACAATGTTCATATTGCTAAGGTAACACGGCTGCAGAGGCAAATTTGTTTTTTTGTGAGCCATTGGGGTGGCGGAACTTTCACAAGCTGTCAAAGTCAGGCGAAGCTTGATCTCATGATGGGATTTTATCACCAGACAACTGACCCCTGACTGTCAATCACCCGTATTCATCAAATGACTATCCGGTTCTCTCATTTTCGCCCTCTCTTTCTACCCAAAGAATTCATCTTCCTCATACTCCAGTTTACCCCCTGACTTCCTTGAACAAATACCTTTATAAGCTTCTCACTGTGTGTAATGGCATGGGCGTGATGGGCTTGGGGACCAGAGACGAGCACACAGGTGCTATAGACTCAAGAGCAGTGCGACTGTGTGCAGCAGGTTTCAGGATCCAGAGCTTGTTAAACCCCTCCCACAGATATTCAGATTCAGCAAGTCTGAGGCGGGGCCAATATGTGCACGGATAGCAAGCTCCCAGGTGGTGTGGAAGGGCTGGCGTAAGGACTACATTTTGAAAAGTGCTGATGTTCCCGCAGTGGGCGGATGGATCTCGGGAGGCTTCTGGATTCAACTGAAGTGTTTGACTTCTCCTGGCTCAGCTGCTTTACATACTCTTAAAATTTCACTTTTTAAAAAGGCCTTGGTCATTGACAACCAATTAATTACGCTCTCCTACTTGGTTTACAAACCAAGCTGAGGACAGGGAAGCCAGTTCCCCTGGCTAGTGGGTCAGAGTTGTTTGTTTATACCACACTTCTTCAAACTTTCAGCCTAGCAGTGAAGGCCTCTCCTGGGTGACCAGTTCAGCCACTTGCTTTCCATCTTGACTGCCTGTTCACTACGGCCCACCGCTCAGATCCTTTTCCACTGGGCTGTTTACCCCTTCCCAAGGAAACCACCATCGTTTTTAAATTCACGCCTTTCCTAGTATCATTGCTTCCTTTGCGTTGACAAACAGTAATGATGGTAGTATGCAAATAACACGTATATCTCCTAACTATGTCTTGCTCCCCGCCCCTTGCCGGCCAAATCAGATGCCAGCTATTTTCCTAAGTGTGTTATGCTAATTTTAAAATAGCGATAGGGGGTGGGGGGGGGGGAGCATAATGTACTTATGAAGATACATCAAGGTGGGGAGGGAAAGAGGAAATGAATAGCAAAACAAACAAGCAAACAACAACAATAAAACAGAAAATGCATATATTATTTACCTTAAAACCGGGTGTATTCGATACTCTGACGCGAACTCCTCATTTTCTGGATATTCATCTCTCCCCTATTTCATAATCCGATGCAGAGAACAGCTACCACTTAACACACTTCAACCCCTACAGAACTGGGCCACCCCCACCACAAGAGCTTCCCCCAAATACTGACTAAACTACTTAGCACTTTGATTAGGGACAAGCAAATAAACTCACAGCCTCATAGGCTGCTATCTCCCCATAGAGCACTGAGGTTTCTCTACCCTCCCAGGCTATCAGGCTTGCCGCTTTCAGAACTGCCTTTGCCAACCTCTCCAGACTGGGAGACAGCGCTCCGTGTTTAGACTCTGGTGCCTTCTCTGATCCTCAGTCATGTCTGTCCCAACATACAGAGGCTGTTTATCTTTTCTTTCTATTTGTTCTATTCCCGGGCCTGAAAGACGTGTTAAGTGTAGTCACATTACTGTGTTGACTGGACTTTCAAAAAATCACACCAGGATCTCCTACTCTAAGTACTTTATGACAGTGACAGCGTACATGGTGATGCTGCAAAGGTGAGGCTTGTTTCTGGGTATACATGACCGGTGGATTTAAAAAGGGGTATGAGCTTTCCCTTATCCACTCTAGTTTTTGAGATCTATAATATATGCCATAGAGCATTCTTCACTCTGTTCCTCCACAAGAAATTGGGATATTTTAATATAGTGTCAGTTAGCCTGACATAGAGGATGTGCATGTGGGCTTTATTTAAAGTAGTTTGTGTTGTACTAAATATTTAGGTCATGTTATACTTCACAAAGTGTCCTTTGAGCCAAAGATATATTTGAACAGTGCAAATTACATGAACTTGGAATTTTCTCCAAGTATCACTTCACCTTTATTAGGAACTGAGCAGCAAGCAGTTCCACTTTGTTATCTTAAAAGGGGGTCAGAAATAAGTTACTGTACAACTAGTAAGAAGCGCTGATGGTGGAGTGGTTTATGAGTCTAACTCTAACCTCAGGGTCAGCTCTTCAAACCTACCCGTCACTCTGCAAAAGAACGGTTAGACTTTCTGCTCCTATGAAGAGCTACAGCCTCAGAAACCCACAGGAAAAGTTCTACTTTGTCCTGTAAGGGTTCCATGAGTTGTAATCAACCAACTGGTAGTGAGTTTGGTACAATAAATAGAGATTCAAAAATTCTGAAATCCAAAATGTGTCCATCAGAGAAGAACTGCTCCTTTGGGTGTCCAAACCTTTTAATATTGTAAAAGCTGCCGAATGTCAGGTAGGTTCAAACCACTGACCTTATGATTGGCAACTCAATGTATAACCAACTAGCCACCATGGGTCCATGTAGAGCTTCCCTGCGAAGTCACTTAATACCTAATGCTTTTTCAAATATTTCTTAACTTTTTTGGCAGGGGGGGAGGTTGTCTTATCTTGGAATTTGTGGGTCTGACTGCTTCTCATATTTAAAACCAGGATGATAAATTGGTATAGCTGAGAACAGGAGCCCTGGTGGGATAGTGGATCAGCTCACCATATTGTGGACAGTGAGGATTCATTTCAAGTGCTCCCTAAAAGATCACCTTGGTGGCAGATGGGAGATGGACGAGAATAGGCATGTTGAAAGGTGCGACACTCACATAAGGAGGATGAGGGGGAGTTAAGAAACAGGGAGCACTACACACTGAACTTTGTACACAGCAGATGCCTACGAGATATGTGTTGGGCGATTTATTTTAGCTCTTCAATTCTGAGAAAAATATACCTACAGAAAAGATGTGTCAATTTCAAAACAAAAAAGTATTGTGAAGTGCAAAAAATACTTTCTGTACAACTTATCCTATGGCAACAGCAACGGACAGATGGTAGAAAAAGATATAAAATGAAATTAGCAACGATGAGACCCAGATGGAAATAAAAAGGAAAGGTCAATAAGTTAAAGGTCAGAGGAATCTGGCTCCATCTTGTCTCCTTGCAGAGAGCGCTGAGGTCATAGTTTAGCGGCCTTTCCTGCCGTGAAAAAGCTGTCGGGCTCTTCAAGGTGTTGAAGAGCCGGCGACTCACCCAGGGCTGTTCAAAGCTATAGGTCCGTCGGCGGTCCTCTCCGTCTTCCTCCTGCTTTGCTTGTTGAAACTCCTGCCTCAAACGCTGTATCCGATCATGGTTGCTGGGAGTTGATCTGTTGCTGAGAGAGAGAAGGAGCAACAATGAACAACCTTCAGCAATATCATCTGGGAATTGCAGTTGCCAGAGGAACAAATGGCAGCTTGCTGAGAAATAATGCTTCTTAAGAGGAAGTGATTTTTTTAAAAAACAATATCTGGGCCTTTAAAGCCGGCTTTCGTTTGTTCTTATGATTAAGGCTTATGGAAGTTAAGACAGATATTCAAGAGGGTGAGTGCTAATTTTAGGTATTCTCTTTGTAGGCTGTTCTTTAAAAGCCTCCTTTACTTTCTATAATCTGGTGAAATGTTGGCAGTGAGATTTCTTTTTTGGAAAGGACATTGCATTCGAAGTCAGAAACACCATCGCCTCGTCTTGGGCCCTTACCACCCCAGACTGAACCAGTGTCTGCCTCTGAGCAGGGCTTTTTTATGTCTCAAAGTTGTAACAACCAAGTGAGCTAACAACCAAAAATGCACCCTTATTCCCATCATGCCATTTTCTGAAGTTCCCATGTATGAGTCATTGGAGGGTCTTATCACAATCTGCCACTCTCAGAGCATAGAGGAAAAGCATTAAATAGATAGACAGATAGATAGATAGATAGATAGATAGATAGATAGATAGATATGTAGATAGATAGATAGATGATAGATAGATATGTAGATAGATAGATAGATAGATAGATAGATAGATAGATAGATAGATAAGGGCAGGTAACTGTTTGATTTAACTAGCTAATAACATTTCCTTCTTTTTACATAGCCTTTGATTTCATTTGATCTTCACAAGAACTTGTAACATAGATGCCTGTTGGTTCCAATTCATAGCAACTCTGCAGAAAAGAGTAGAACTATTCTCTAGGGTTTTCAAAGCTGTAAATCTTTATGGAAGTCCACTGCCTCATCTTTCCCCCATGGAGCGCCTGGTGGGTTTGAACGGCCAACCTTTCCGTTGGCAGCCCAACACTCAACTCAATGCACCACCAGGGTCCCTTTTGATAGGTACAAAAGACAAGCACTTCACATACTCACATGCACACATACAGTATATTTTTAAGACACTAGAAGAAGATAAGGCACACAGCTGGTTGGTGGGGTGAGACTAGAGTCCTGATCATCTGACTTCCTGTCCAACCTTTATTCTAGCCATGTGGTAAGACATCGTCAAATAGATTCAAAGCCCCTCCTTTACAAAATCCCACACAATGTAAAAAGGAACAGCAATAGAGATCAATAACCAAAGTTAAACCGATCTTCAATCTCACAGCATTTCTCTCACCTTCTACTCATGAAAATATTAGATTGTGTCCTAGCAGGAAAGCTATTCCCGGACATCAGCTAAATTGTCCATCTGCTTAACAAAACACCAGACTTCTTAAGGACAGGAATCATCTCGTATAGGTGCCCTCCAAACTAAGCTCAGAATGGGAAGCTGCTAGTGCGTAGGAAGGTCAGGGCTGATGGAAACCACATTGCCCTGGTCATCATCGTAATCTATGTGTGTGAACCCCGTGGGCTCCACAATCCTAGCCTCCCCTCAAATGCGATGTAATTTGTAAGGAAGTATACCTTGGAAAGGATAGGTGTTCTACGAGAGTGTATCAGCTTGCTATTGCTCTTGTTAGTTGCTGTCATGTTGATCTTGACTCATGGTGACCCCAGGGGTGTGGAGTGGAAATGCCCCATTTGGTTTATAAGCCTTGGCCCTTTCAGAAGCAGATGGTCTGGCCTGTCTGCAGAAGTGCTACTGGGTTTCAACCATCAACTTCTTGGGGAGCAGTCAAGAGCTTCATTATTTGAGCCAGCAGCCAACTTCCATGTACCTATAATCCACATATTCTGAAAGTCTCCTGAGCCTTAAAAATCTCTATTGGAGAATGCTTTTGTCTAAGACCACAAGGTTAAGGTATTCAAAGAATACAAGAAAGCATGCCATCATTTAATTAACTGCATTCCTGTTGAAAGGTAGCTAAACTAGGGGTAAAGGGGGGCTGTCTCCCCCGAATGCTTGCCCCAGCAGGAATCAGTGGGCAGGGCCACACTGGTACAGATAGGAACTGGAAACACAGGGGATACAGAACAGATGATCCCTTCAGGACCAGTGGTGAGAGTGGTGATACCGGGAAGGTAGAGGGAAGGTAGGGTAGAAAGGGGGAACCAATTATAAGGATCTACATATAACCTCCTCCCTGGGGGGATGGAAAACAGAAAGTGGGTGAAGGGAGACACCGGACAGTGTAAGATATGACAAAATAATAATAATTTATAAATTACCAAGGGTTCATGAGGGAGTGGGGAATGGGGAGGGAGGGGGAAAATGAGGAGCTGATACCAAGGGCTCAAGTAGAAAGCAAATGCTTCGAGAATGATGAGGGCAACAAATGTGAAAATGTGCTTGACATACAATGGATGTATGTATGGATTGTGATAAGAATTGTACAAGCCCCCAATAAAATGATTTAAAACGCAACAAACATACAAATAAAAGAAAGGTGCCGCATAGAAATCAGGCACACTAATTAGACACCTGTGGGAAAAGCCAAACCTGAGCATGCGCAGACCCAAGCCACCGAGGCCCAGGTGGAAGCCAACCTGGGCACACCCACATTAGGCACCAGCAATATTCCATCACTCAGGTGTGCCGAAACTCAGCCAATAAGGTCGGCCAAGACCCTCAACCACGCCCCCGCCCCAAGTGGGGATACGGGGGGATAAATACCAGACAGGGCAAGACACCCCTCTTGTTCGGCTGCTCTCTTGCAGGGTGGGGGGTGAGATTCCTCCCAGGTGCTGGCCCTCACACATGTTCGTGGCCCAGGGGCTCTTTGGGGATCTCCCGCTCTTGATTCTGTAAGCTTTTCACGGGGGTTTTCCGCCCCTAAAGTGGCTATCTTCAGTCTCGAACTCGTTCCCAGTCCCGGCGCGGCCCTGTGCCCGCTTTCCAGAGACAGCGTGTACTTTTGAGTCTGTCATACCTGAAACTTCCCTTTCCCTCATAAAAGGTACTTGGGTTTACAAAGTGCTTCTGCCGTGTGGATTCTTTCAGCGATGCCAAGCTAGAGCTAAGGTACACCACGCCAGAACCCTAACACCCACCCCCTTCAAAGTCCTATCACCTAGAGGAGAACCTCCTGAAGAAGCTGCCGATTGAGTCCATTTCCAGTTGACAAAAGCTTGTCAGCCCCCCGTGTGCTTCTCCTGACAAATCTCTGGACGGACCAGTCACAAAACGTTTAAGGTGAACAGGTCTATCAACTGCGCTACGTGACAACAGTTTCAAAACTTCCTCCCCACTTTGGCATTTAAAAGTCATCAAGCACTAAGGTAGCAGATGGACACTGGGCCTCGACTCAAATCCTCCCTCAATGCAAGAAGTTTGTTCTAATAATGTGGCATTCTGTGATGTTCACCTTCCCTACACGATCACTGAAGACAAAATGGGTGCATTAGCTAATGTGGTGAAGAAAGCTGAAGGTGCCCAGCTATTACAAGGTACAGCATCTGGGGTCTTAAAGGCGTGATGTTAAACAAGCAGCCATCTAACAGGGAACCAACAGAGCCCACAAGGAGGAAGCACACCAATCTGTGTGATCACGAGGTGTTGATAGGATCAGGTATCAGATCTTAGAAGACCCAAACAAACAACTGTATTGATGGAACAAGGAGGGTCAGTGTGGAGACCCAAAGCCCATCTGTAGACAATTGGACAACCCCTCACAGAATGGTCACAAGGAAGGAACTAGCCAACCAGGAAGCAGTATAGCACCAACGAAACACACAACATTCTTCTAGTTCTTCAATGCGCCCCCCACCAACTATCATGACCCCAGTTCTAGCTTACAAATCTGGCTAGACCAGAGCATGTAGACTGCTACAGATAAGAGCTCTCGGCACAGAATCCAGTACAGATAACCCCCCCTCAGGACCAATGTTGAGAGTAGCAATACTATGAGGGTAGGGGAGAGGTGGGGGCAGAAGGGGAAGAAAAAGGGAACCCATCACAATGATTGATGTACAACTCCTACCCACCCACCCAATGGGGGTACGAACGGCAGAACTGTGGCTGAAGGGGGACAGCGGAGAGTATAAAATATGAAAATAAAAATAATTTCTAAATTCTCAAGGGTGCACAATGGTGGGAGGGTAGGAGAGGGAGGAGAAAAAGGAGCTAAAACCAAGGGATCAAGTAGGAAGAAAATGTTTTTTTTTTATCATTTTATTAGGGGCTCATACAACTCATCACAACCCATACATACATCAATTGTACAAAGCACACTTGTACATTCGTTACCCTCATCATTCTCTAAACATTTGCTCTCCATGTAAGCCCCTGGCATCAGCTCCTCATTTCCCCCCTCCCTCCCTGCTCCCCCCTCCCTCATGAACCCTTGATAATTTATAAATTATTATTTTGTCATATTTTACCCTGTCCAACGTCTCCCTTCACCCACTTTTCTGTTGTCCGTCCCCCATGGTTCCTCCACCCTCCAAGAAAATGTTTTAGAAATGATGATGGCAACATATGTACAAATATGCTTGATAAAACTGATGTATGGATTGTTATAAGAGCTGTTAGATCCCCCAATAAAATGATACTTAAAAAATAAAAAGAAATAATCATCGCCTAGAGCAGCCTATCTTGTTCTGACACATACCTATTTCATAAAGGCTAATGGTCCACCTAGAGAGGAAGCTCCCAGTCTACAGAACTCCCTCTGCTCCCTGGGAAACCGGGCCGGGCAGGCATGAGAATAAATTCATCTCCATGCCATCTTTCCAGCTGTGTCTTTTTTGTTCCTGGCATACTTCAGAGCTTTTAATGTGAGGGTTGTAGGAGGCTTGACTGACAAAGTGTTTTACAAGTCGGATCAGCAATATTTCTCGATTATTTGCATGTCACAGAGACAGCTTTAACCTCCCAGTTATTAAGTTCCTAGAGTTCAAATCACTGGTGAAACATGATCTCCTACGATTTGTTGTACTTGAAAACGCCATCTCCCAGGAAGGGGAGTCAACCCAG